GAGCGCAGTCTGCGCACCCGCTGTGCGCCCTCAGCTCCTTTTCCCGAGCCCGCCGCGATGGGAGCTACACGGGGATCCCTGGCCAGACCCCGCCGGTTGCCTCTGCTCAGCGTCCTGCTGCTGCCGCTGCTGGGCGGTGAGTCCCCGAGAGCTGAGGGCGCAGAGCTTGGGAAGCGCGGGAGTGCCCGTGGGCAAAAAGCTGCACCTGGGGAGGTGGGTTTGGGCGGCTGGAGCGGCCCTGGAGTGGTGGAGAGGCTCGCTGGGGGTGCAGGCTCGCGGCGGAAGGGCGCAAGGAACCCGGGGGCCGGGAGGCTGACGAAGCCTCCAGGGACTCGGTCAGGTCCCCCTCCCACCCGCGCCGCGGGGACGCATTTCCAGCCTCACTGAGTTTTTGTGGTCTGAGCCGAGAGTTTGCTCGAGAACTGCCGAGAGTTGCCGGCTCTCGGGCCCAGATGGGGAGTTTCTTGTCGGGGGAGAAAAGACCACCCGCACCCCCCGTGGGGGGTGCGAAGGGGAAAAGGGAGCCCCCCTACCCCACCCGGCAGGGTCAGCCCAGGTAAGAGTGGCCGGTTTGGGGCCCGATGCCGGACAGACCTGCGGCGCGCAAAGCGCGGAGCTTTGTTACCTACGCTGACCCGACGCTCCCGGCTTCCCTCCTCCAAGTTCCTGGGCAAAGCCGGGACCCCAGATGGCCCTGCGGGTGAGGGCGGAAGAAGGGAAGAATTAGGGGCCGCCCCATGGCTTCTAGTTACTGGTCTGGAACCCTGCGTCCTCTCCGTGCCAGGGCCGAATCCGGGGATCCGAGGGTCCCAGGCTGTCGCGGTGACTAATGTGTGAAGGCCGCTGCCAAAATCGGGCATGGCCTGGCTGCAAAGGTACGGACGGGGTTTGTTCTGCTCCTTCCTGGATTTCCATCCTGGCTGTCCTCACAGAGGAAAGGAAATCTTTCTAAGGACAGAAAAGCAAAAAGAACTCATTCAGGTTTTTCTTGGGGGGCCTTAGTATTTTAACGCGGGTGTGGCCCTCCTCACCAGGCAGACAGCACCGCCCCCCCCCAACTCCCGCAGCTTTTATTTCCTGGCTTGGTCACACCTAAGAGTCACCACTGAGGTGTCGAAGTGCCTTACAGGAAAGCATCAAGCCACCCGCCCATCCCAAACAGCCCGGACTGGAAATAAAGCCCCCCAGCCTCCAAAACACTCTTTGGTGGTCCTCGAAGCAGCTTTCTCTTGGGGAGCTCTGTCCAGAAGACCTGTCCTAGGTGATCACTTCCCACCTCCTTTGAAGGTGGCAATGGGAACGGCATGGGTAGGGAACTGCCTTTCTAATACTTTCTGGCCTGCCAGCTGTGGAGGGGTTTTGGTGCTGGTGGAATCAACATCTTCCCTGCGCCCAGTTGTAAAACGAGAGGTAAATGTAACCCAGGAAAGAGAGTAAGCTCCAGGGATTTGGAGGAGGTGTTTGGAGTTGCCCCATGTTTCTTGTGATGTGTTTGGTGGTTATTGCTCGTGGCAGAATCCACATCTGCTCCCAGAGGAAGTATGGAACTTTTTTGCACAGCCAGGATGGGGGCCCAGCCATCTGGGCGAGCAGCCCGAGCTCACAGGCCTCCTGGCTCTTCTGGTTGGGTTTTGGTGTGTGGGTCTGCCCAATGAGGCTGCCTTCACTGCTGCTGTTCAGAGTTCTGGAGTCAAGGGGAGTTTCTGGTGAAGATGGGGCTCTTGCTCAACAAATGCTAAATTCCTAAATTCCTTTCATGAGAAGATGACTCTGATGTTAATTGACTTAATCTGGTGACTAGTGTTTAGTGTGTGCGTGTGGAGGGGGGGGATCCTGTTAGGGGAAGTTAGGGCAAGCTGAGGGCTTAGGACAGGAGGTCTGTAGTCTCCTTAGGGGTGGGGGGATGTCTTGTGCTCAACAAAGGAACATTTTAATGAGAGCCTTAAATCAGTTCCACCAAATGTGCCTTGTTGTGGAACCTGTCCATGTGCTGTAAACAATTTCAGCAGAGGCCGAGGCGCCTGTTGTCTTCTAGTGAAATCCTGGGACTCAACCCACCCCCAGATGCATGATTTCAGGGGGCAACGATTTTTTTAATAGATCACAGTAGATTTTTCCATCTCATTGTTTGTGTAATTAACTGGAGTTGTAGTGAGATCCCACTGTTAATAAGGCTGGAGTAAGGAACCTAGGCTGGCTAGGTTTGTGGATTAGACCATTTTAAAGTCTGGGTAATTATGCCATAAATGGCTGAGTTACTTTCTGCACTTTAAGATGCTGTTGTAATAAATATGGAGGAGGAGGAGGAGGAGGTAGAGGAAGAGGAGGAGGAGGAGGCTTAATGTTTGAAACTTGGGATTCTCAACCCCAACCTCTTGGACAGTCAGATGTGGTCACTTCCTCATCCCGATTCCCCTCCCCCTCCTTGGTTTCTTTCCTCCAGGCTCTTGTTTCTTTGGGGAAATTGAGTCGTCATGTTCTGGGATAGGCTGTCTGCAGATTCCTCAAGACTCTGCAGCCTGTAATTCAGGCCTAGGAGTTGCTTTTATTAGTGATGGCTTTTCTCAGCTGTTGGGAAGTATGGTGGCAGGGCGAGGGTGCTCTTCATGTCACTTGTCAAATGATAAACTCCTGGTGTTCAGAGCAGCATTGAGTGGTGGACAGAGCTCAAGCAATGGATATAAAGTATGGTCCTTCCTTGGCATCTGCAGGGAATTGGAATAGGACTCCCTGAGAATGACAAAATCCAAGGGTGCGGCCAGGCGCGGTGGCTTACGCCTGTAATCCCAGCACTTTGGG